TCATTGTACACACAGCCATGCTACCTCTTCTTACAATGGGACGCTGTGGGTCACTACTTCTATTCTGTATGATCTGTTAAGATGGACATAACACACAGCTGATGACCAGTCTTTAAATTGTCATTTCAAGCTGTAGATAAAAACATATTTTTTAAGTTTAGACACAGCAGAAGTCAAGACATACGAAATTAGTGAAATCTTTATTTATCTGGATCAAAAAAATTTAAATATATTTAGCCATGAGGCCATAAGATAAAAAATATTATAGTAGTATGTGAGATTTACAGTCACTAACACGAATACACTTCACTCCCAAGTGAAAATTTACAGAAGATTCAGCTCTCCATCCCACAATGTGACATTTAAAGGATGCTTTATGGAGTGCAATACTCACCTCCCTGAGAGTTCCTTCACTGGGATCTTGAGCCGGTTTGAGTCTTCATAAGTGTCCTTAATCCCCATCTCCTCTTCTTCCTCCAGTCCGGACTCTTCATCCTAGATTCAAATGCATCTATAGTTTAAAAACTAGTTATTACTGCAGTGAGGTTCATCCTCAAACAATTGAGTCTCACAGTTTTATTCATATTTAAATCACCTTTAACATCTGGCTTATTGGCCTGGGCTTATATTATATTGGGTTTTGGTCTCCTGTGGCTGTGTAGCACTGAAAGTACTTGATTCAAAACCTTTCTTCTTCCGTAACAGCCATGCTTGCAAGACCAATATACCCATTTGATTTTGCCTAGTTGCCACAATTATATAGCAATTTAATTTGCAATTTGATTCGATCCACTGTTTAGGCACCCACTCGAATTGTAGTATAATTAAACTGTCTTCCAATCTGAGCTTCAGAAGGATTTACACGATCTGGAAAGCTGCTGTTTACAACAAAGACAGATGGAGTATTTGGAGAGATTTTGCAGTATTACTGTTTAAATGCAAATTAGGAAGAAAAACAAAGGATAACTACATTTTTGTCATTTCAGTGCATGTCTTGAAGTACAGTAGGAAGAAAAAAAAAATCTCATTTAGTAAATTTTTGTAACTGAGGAGCAGTTTTAATTTTGTATCATTTGGAAGCAGAAGTGGTTGTGACCTTCAAGTAGATATTGAAAATAGTCAGCTGTCATCCTCCAGCTCTTTCCTCTTACTTTTAAGTTCTTTCCACAGAAGGAGCACAGGCATGAGCTCTTCACAGATGCTCTGAACTCCACTCTCAGGGTCAAGGCTGTCTGCTTAATCCTTAATCCTACCAAACCTTGAAACCTTGAGTATACAGAACTAATATTTTTATTTATTAGTTCTGTATACTAATTACTATCATTGGAAAAGGCTTGTGATTGGACACATTTCCTGTCATGGTTTAGATCTTCCTTCCTATCATTAACATCATGCTCAAAAGTTAATATGATTTTTTTTCTGTCCAGTAATCCCAGTAAAATACCGCCCACCGCATTTATGACACAAAATCTGCTACAGCCAACTTTCTGTTAATGCAAAGAAAAGCAAAAACTTCTTTCAAATTCAAATTACAAATAAACTTGTGATGTTCACTTATGGAAAACAGATGAGTTTTACCAGCTTTTCACGCGCTTTCTTTTTCTTATCATCCTCAGTCTTCTTTTTGCTTTCTGGCATCAAGTCATCGAGCCAGCTCAGCTCTCTCTTGGTAAAGAAAAAGTCTAGAAGCTTTCGGATAAAGACCAGCGCCAGAACCTAGAATTACAGATGAAACCAAACATAAAGTAAAGGAATGACACAATAAAATCATATCTACTAATAAAAGAAACCCTCTGCTATACTGTTATTTGGCACAACACACAGATGAATGATCAATAACTGTGACATTAAAAAACACAACTCTTCTCCAGTAAAAATGAAGTGATAAAATAAGTAAGGCTGAGTCATTACCATCATGGGGAATACAACAGCTGCTGCAGACACCTTGATTACCCAGAGCAGCACCAAACAGCTGAGCTGTATCAGGGTGAAGATATGGACCTTCCACAGTGGCACATAGCGCAGGTAGATCAGGTCAGGCTGGTGCTTTGCAGGCATGCCAAACAGTTTGATTCTGTCAAAGAACTATAGAGTAAAGAGAGTCAGTGAAACAGTTAAGAAATACAAATGCATGAAAGTACCACTTAATAGATTATTCAGAGGAGGAAACACATTTAAGAGAAGCTCCCAACGACTCTGAATTACCATTAAAGGTTTGCAACTGCAGGGGGCAAACTTATCTTTACTAACAGCTCCAGACCCCTGCTCTGTTCTGAATAGAAGGGCAGCACTATCTTCAAAGACAGCAGGGGAGAGACTTACTTGAATGCCTTTGAGGGAAGAGACACCCATGTAGAGAAAGACTCCGTACAGAACCGGCATTGGAATAAACTGTCGAAAGCACAAATCAAACAACATATTAGAAAATATTTAACTTACGGTACATGAAGGAAAAAGCTGAAAACATCTATGACACACTTGTGCCTGGTGACAACACATTAGTTTACACGGAATTAACGCAACTTGTGTCAAATAATCAAAAGACATTATTATATACAGTGATTTACAGGGGGAAGCAAATCCTCATGAAGAAGCAAATATTATTTCACTGACAACCCCATCGCACCTTGAGCACTGATGTCATGAAGACAGAACAACCCATCAGGACAAAGATCATAAATCCCGTGACTCGCTGTTCCCGGATTCCCAAAAACTTGGGCTGTTCTCCCGGTGCGGAGCAGCCAGACTCCACCTTCAGGCTGTTAACGTGGGAAATGGAGAGGACGGTTGCAGCCACAAACCACGGCAAGCCCATAATGGAGCACACGCCCAGCATTATTGCCACGAGGAGCAAGTCCAGGTGATAGCCACATCCTTTCTGTAAGATATGAGAAGTAGAGGCATGGACATACACAAACTGTCAAGACTGAAGAGAAAAATCTTTGTGACAGATTCATTCACTGTGATCAATCAGCTATTTGCCTTTTTCTGTAAAAAATTTAAAAATAAAAATAAATTTTGTGAAACTTTTTATACTTCCTCCAGCTCCTCCCTTTAGAAGTGAACACACTGAATCATCTGTCTCACCCTTTCTCTACCGTCCTCTTCCGTCCCTCTGCATGTCCTCCTTCTCTACATCCATAAACCCTCCCACTGCTCTTCCTCTATCTTGTAAACCTTCCATTTCATTCTTGCTGCTGTCCTTCTGTCACAAATCACCCTTGACACTTGTGTTCACACTCTTCTTCACCTCTTTTTTGCACGGTCCATTCCTTTGGATGCTGACCCCAAGTATTTAAACTCATCCACTTTCACTAACTCTACTCCTTACATCTTTACCTTTCCACCTGCTCCCCACGGAGACTCCTGCCTGACTTCATCAGTCAAACCTGTCCATCACCACTGCAAACAAGAAGGCGTTCAGAGCCAATCTCTGATGTAATCCCACCCCCACCTTGAACCAATCTGTCACTACTACAGCAAAACCTCATCACTGTCTCGCTGTACTCATACATATGCTGCAGTACCCTAGCATACTTCTCTCACTCCGGACATCTTCATACAGTACCACAGTTCCTCCCTTGGCACCCTATCACAAGCTTTCTCAAAATACTTTTAGATAAAAGTCAGACCTTCAGCTTGTGCTCTTTGCGGTTGATGATGACTGCTGTGATCTGCTGATCCATAAAAATGAGGATGGTGCAGAGCATGGCAGGAAGTACTGCCACCAGCAGTGTCCACCAAGGGTTTTCTCCTAACGGATCCATTAGCCAGCCTCTGTTCTTTGAAGTTGGCTGAGGGCAAAAGTGCAAGCCACATTAAGTATATAAGGTATGAACTAACTGAGAATATTTATCTTACACATTACTTGTAATGTGTTGGTCAGAATCTAGACTATTCCAGCAAGAACTGTTGTATATGAAAGCCTTAAGCACACACAATCTGTACTTTTACATCTCTGAGAAGAGACTGCTAACACTGTAAAGAAACCCTTGAGTAAAATACAATA